TTTCAAATACAACTCATTCCATAGTCCACAAAAAGGGTCCGGTGTTTGGTTAGTAACGAATAGGTGACTCCTTGGTCTTGCTAAGCTTAGTATCATCACGCAATCACCCCACTCCTTGTTGCTTGTAAGGTAATAGACTTTCCCTTCACTTTGAAGTTCGATTCATAGATTGAATATAGAAAGTCGGGAGTTGGGTCTTGACCTTGGGTATTTGTTAGATGAAATTGCATGATAAACTTGACTAGTACAATGCCCTTGGAACGATAGATAGTGATTGTGTAGCATTATTGTATGTGATCGTAAAACTATATGTTGGTTTCAACTTATGGTTCCACAACTAGTCTAAATTGTTAGGTATAATAATCGGTCGGAATCTTAAGAATGAAGAACTAGCATAATTTAATGTTGTAAATGCATGATGAGATTGTGTGAATGTTGGAAACTCAGTCTAAAAATGTAGGATACCTGGCACAGTTGGCATCCACGATACCCCGTCTACGGAACGTAGATCCATCTACGGACCGTAGATGGGGGTTCGTAAATGGATGCACATGAAAAATTTCACCAAGTGTGAAAACCACGGAGGTGGACTACGGTCCGTAGATCCCATCTACGGACCTTTCTGCACTTCCGTGGTTTCCATCTACGACCTATATGTCAGGGCCCCTGATCCACGGAAGAGATCCACGGACCATAGATCAGTCCACGGACCGTAGATCTCCCCCGTGGATGACTACTGTAGCATCTGTCTGAAGATTTTTGGGATTTTATTGTTGATCGTTTATAGTTTTTACTTTGTCTTAGTATAGTTTTGGCTAGTCGTGAGCTCTAATATCACTCCCGCAGGTACAATGGCACCCAAGAAGATAGTCACCTACTCAAAAAGGGGCAAGTCAAAATCTGTTGCCCCTAGTTTCTGGTTATTTGATGAGGACACAGACGCCGACACTGATCCAACTTATGTGCCTCTCAACCCTAGGACTTCTCGCGCTGCACCCAGAGGCACCCCCTGGAAGGTGCTTCCCGACGTAGTCACTGTCTCCCAGTCTGATGAGGAGCACACACTGATCGGGTCACCAACTGGGGCTGCTTCCAGTTCAGAGGGGTCTATGTCCGGACCTGAGTCCGACCATGCTTCAGGCTCCGAGTCTGCCCATCCTTCAGGATCTGAGCCTGACCAAGCTGCAGGGTCCAGTGCTAAATCATCCACAGCATCTAGTGAGAATGACCAAGCGGCCTCGGCTGATGAGGCAACTAGCTCAAAGTCCATACCGGTACCACAGAATGATGACCCCACTCCAGTAGCTGGAGAGCCTAATAGATAGTGCGTAGAGGGCCAATGGAAAATATATAGGGATGCCAAGATGATCAATGACAAACAGAAAATGGCCCGAACTATTACAGAGGAGCACAGAGTCCTCACAGAGAGCTTGCATACTGTCCCGGACATCCACCGGCTGTTTAACTTTCACAAGTGTGACTGGATGGCGCGAGACCCAGGGACGTACAGTGAGGAGATGGTGCGAGAGTTCTACGCCTCATATGGATCTACGGACCGTATATCGACTCACGGACCGTAGCCGGGGTCTCGGGAGTCCATACTTCGGACTGTCTGACCCGACTCGAATTTTTCCATTTAAAAACCCCCATTGATTTTTAAACCACTCCCATTCCCTCCATTA